TTCGTGCAAAGCTGTTACAGTTTATGCATACTGAGAAGCTGTGGAGGAGAGCATCGCTCTGCAGAGAGCGGTGCGCCGTTGCCAGGGCGGCGGGCGGCAGGCGGCAGGCAGGAAGGCCTGTGGATGCTCGCATTCCAGATGTCCTCACTCATGAAATGACCTGCCGACGCCCCTGCAGCAGTAGCTCCCTGTGCAGGTGGATTTACGATAAACTCTAGGACTAAAGAAAAAAGCATGTCATTTGAAGCCCCAAATCTTGCTGAAACCCGCTACTGCTCCCCGCGCTCAGGAAGTCCAGCGCGGTCTGTGCCGCCACTGCGTGTGCTTGACTGGAGCCGCCTGGGCCCTGCATGGGTTGGGCTCCCGGGCCTGAGAGAGGGGAGAGGGTGGGGGAAGGGTGCGGCCAGGCCATGCGGGCCCACTCCTGGGAGTTCTTCCCTGCACGGCCCAGGTGCACAGGAAGTCATGGGTGGGCCAAGTGGGCAGGCCCCAAGGGGAAGTGCTGGAAAGTATGTCCTTCCGAAATCTGTGCAGAGGGTGTGAGCACAAGCTGCTCATTGAGGGCTTCTGGGCGGCCACGTTTGGTTACTCCTGTTCACTTACAGTGATAAAGGGGCCTGAGACTTTGCAAAGTTTGTGTGAGGATTTGCCTCTCCTTTTGGGGAAATACATAAAATTTTAAGAGAAAAAAATTCACCTGGTCCTTGTAAAAGACACATTGGAATTCCAGTCATTTTTCTTAAAATGAGAAGTGGTGTGACTTTCGTTAAAGGAAAAGAAACTGAGAAGATGTGTAGTGGAAATACACACATGGGGAGTGGGGACAGCAGGCTGCCCTGAAAGGGAACAGATTTTCCTGCAAATTAGAGATGCTGCTTGGAGCCCAGGCATGGTGGGGTCATCTGGGGCTCAGGCTGATGGGCACACGTGTGTCCTGTCCTCGGACACACAGCAGCACTGATGCCCCTGCTCACACGCATGTGGCCTGTTCCACATTGAGACATGGCGATGGTCACACGGCTTCTTGGTTACTCGTGATTCCCTCAACCTCAGCCCCACTTCCGCCTGGAGGCACCGGGCCATTTTCACGGCCTAGAATCAGAGGAAGGGCTCCTTGCTATTTGGGAGGGCCAGGGGCGTTGTCAAAGTGGACTCTCGGCTCCTCAATTCAGAGTCCATCTCGCGTTCATTGCCCATAGAGCCTGCTGCACATCAGCCTCTGACCGAGCTGTGTGCTTGGCCGTTTCTATTGGGAGTGCAGGTCGGAGCCCCCACTGCTGTGTGCTTGGCCGTTTCTATTCGGGGTGCAGGTCGGAGCCCCCACTGCTGTGTGCTTGACCCTTTGTATTGGAAGCCGGTCTGAGCCACCACTGCTGTGTGCTTGGCCATTTGTATTGGAAGCCGGTCTGAGCCCCCACTGCTGTGTGCTTGGCCCTTTGTATTGGGAGCCGGTCTGAGCCCCCACTGCTGTGTGTGTTGGACCAGTTCCCAGACCCCCTTTCGCACCTTTCTCCATCTGCAGAAATGGGGGGAGGCGCACTTTGCACAGGAGTGTTGTGAGGGTTTGATCGTGTGGGTGTCAGTAGGTCGGCTTCCTCCCTGTGCCGACACCTGTCTCTTGAATGTCACTGCAGCAGCAGCTACACATGACACTGCCCCGTGGAACGAGGGTTCCCAGGTCCCCAACCCCTGACAGGCACACGTTCTATTTTGGTGGCTCTCGGCGCGGGTAGGGCCACGGCCACGGGCACTCAGAAAGGACTGCAGTCCTCTTCTGGTAAAATACAGCTCTGAGGAAGAAGGCAAAGCCCAGCTCAGTTAGTAAGAGGCACACTTTTTATCGTTCCTAGAGCGCTTCCTGTGCTTGGTGCATATAATCCAAATTCAGGTACCTGATGTCGGCCGTTACATCCCCGAAAATCCGCACATCAGCATCCTCATCCCCAGGAAGTCGGCTGTGACTGTATTTGGGGCAGGGCTCTGAAGAGGTAATTAAGTTAAAATGAGGTCTTTGTGGTGGGCCCTGATCCAATGCGACTGGTGCCCTGGTGAGAAGAGGAAATCAGAAAACACACACACACACACACGCACATACACACCTGGTAAGAAGAGGAAATCAGAAAACACACACACATGCACATACACACCTGGTGAGAGGAGGAAGTCAGAAAACACACACACATACGCACATACACACCTGGTGAGAGGAGGAAATCAGAAAACACACACACACACACGCACATACACACCTGGTAAGAAGAGGAAAACAGAAAACACACACACACACACGCACATACACACCAGGTGAGAAGAGGAAATCAGAAAACACACACACACACGCACACACACACACGCAAGGAAGGCCATGTGAAGACACACAGGGCAGCCATTTCAAGCCCAGGAGGGAGGCCTCAGAGGGAACCAGCCCTCATCTTCTCCTTCTGGCCTCAGAGGTATGAGGAAGTCCGTTTCTGCTGTCCCAGCCCCGGTCTGGTTTGGTTGTGGCAGCCGCAGCAGGGCCAGTGCCATCATTGCCCACATTGATGGGTCAGGAAACTAAGACACAGACGCAGTCACTTGCCCCAGAGCACGCAGCTCGGATTCCCCAGGCTGTGTGCTCGGTCACTGCTGTAACCGCCCCCCAGGCCCACCCAGCGTGGTCTCAGGGACTCTTAGATCACGTTAGAGCAAAACAGGGCTGTTTGCCATGGTCTGGCTGCTACGTGGAACGTTCCAGTCTTGGTGGAGAAAATAAAACTCCACATGGGCAGAGAGGGGGCCTGCCTCATTTATCTCGCTCTCCCAGAATCTAAGGGTGGCCAGCAGACAAGGTAGCATGTTCATCACACATCGCTCACGTGTCTTCAGCAGCGTGTTACGCTGAGCTCTGTGTCTGCTCTGTGATCTTGATGCCTTTATGTCCTGGTGAATATGCTAACGCTTGATCTTCCATAGTATTTTTTTCATGTGGCTTTTGTTATAAGTTTGCAAAGGCCCATTAAAAAGTTACGTTTACATGTGATTTCTTGAAATGTTTGTTACCAGAAACTGGACTCTGCCGGGGGTTTTGGCTTCAGGGTGGGGAGCACTTTCTGAGGTTCGTAGGGTCGAGCCTTTGAGGGAAGTTCCCCCGTGAACCGCTGCCTCGGGTCGGGGAGTTGGGGGTCACCACGCTCTCGGGGCCTGGGTGAACCCTCCGAGGTTGGAAATCACATAAAGGATCCGTTCTAAGATCTGGACGCTCACGTTTTGATGTGAGCGAGTTAACTCAGGTAGAAATCACTTTTTAACTTGGTGTAATGCCCTGGCTTACTTGCTCTTGCGTTTCCCACGCACTCGCGTGTACTCGCCGTGGCACAGCGGGGACCAGTGGGCGCTGTTAGCTCCAGGAACTGATGTGTTCACCTGAAAGCCACTCCACATCGGTGTGCCGTCACCTCACCGGTCCGCGTGCCTTTCAGTCTCCTTGCTCCGCTGTGACGCCAAACTGGGCACGTGTCTCGGGCGGCAGAATCCTAGGCCCTGGCGGGTCCGCTCTGGAAGGCAGCGCCCAGCTGCCCGCATGGCGGGTGGTCACTGCAGTGTTCTCTTCCTCCTGGTCCTGCTGCTCAGCCCGGAGCAGAAGCACGGCCAGTGCGTGGGATCGTTCTGTTTTTACGCCAGTTTAAGGAGTAAAAGGAGAGAGAGGTACAAGCTACCCAGTGAAGTGCTTTAGTGTCATTTGGAAAAATAAAACAAAATAAAAATCTGCAATGGCTGCAGTTTCCATACCCTCAGAATCTGCATGTGACTCCCGTGGAGGTGGTGTGCCGCCCTCTGTCTGGAAGACGGAGGAGCATGGCCAGCCCCCTGGCCCCGGGGCACTCAGCCCTCAGCCCTGGCTGCGCTGCCCTCCCCCAGGCTCCCGGCTCCAGAAGGCTCAGAATCCTACGCATTCTCGGGGGGCGGGGGGGAAGGGGTGCACGGGGAGGGTGAAGCGTTTTTGCCTTACGGCTTTTCAAATAGTTTCTCCTGCTCTGGAAAAAATCAGTTTCACACTACAACCCTCACTCACATGTATAACAGAAGCAACAATACTGTATTTGATGCACTGTTAGGTTTTGTATTTTATTCCCCTAAGAAAAAAGCAATACATACATACAGGCTGGTCACAACCCACTAAATGGATTTTATGATCCACTCGTGGGATTTTAGTCACAATAAGAAAAATTCTGCTTTCATCACAGCCTGTTGTGGGAAATGAGCCTTGTTTTGAAAGAAAAGAATTGCCAGATGAGAAGAAAGGAGAAGGGTACGGGTTTCTGTCCAGGGGCAGCCCTGGGAGGGCACGGGTGCCAGGAGTGGCGGAGAGGGCGCATGGCTGAGGGGAGGCGGCGGGGCAGCTCGGCCGGTGCAAGCTGTGCTTGCTGAGACCTGACCCTCCCTAGAACCGGTCTTTTGAGTTCATTCGTCCAACTTCCTGCCCAGCACAAGGCTGTGAGGACGTCTTGTCTGTGCCTTTATGCCTTCTTTTTCTGAGTGGCACAGGAATACTCTAGTTGTTTCAAAAGGAAACTAACTTTCTACTATCTTGTTGTCTTTTGGGCTGCTGTTACCTAGCATTTTTTTAAGGAAAGAGGTCAGTTTTAGCAGCTCTCGGTTTGTAGTCTTGACAAGTGCTCATTGCAGCCATCATGTGACTTAGCTGATAGTGAGCCTGATATTTGCTGATATTGATTCTGGAAAGGAAGGGAGAGGGAGAGAGAGAAACATTGGTGAGAGAGAATCATAGATTGGCTGTCTCCTGCATGCCCCCTACTGGGGATCAGCTCCAACCCGAGCAGGTGCCCTGGCCGGGAGTCCAACCGGTGACCTGGTCATGGGTCCACGTTCAACCACTGAGGCACACTGGTGGGGCGGATTTCCCCCTGAGTGTTATGGGCAGGGAGGTGGCAGCAGGATGCCCAGCAGCGCCCGCTGCAGGCGTCGGTGCCCACTGAGCCCCTATTGTGTCTCCACAGGCCTGGGCAAGACCAAAAGGAAGACGAGCGCAAGGGACGCGTCCCCAACGCCCAGCACGGATGCCGAGTACCCTGCCAATGGGGGCGCCGACCGCATCTACGACCTCAACATCCCGGCCTTCGTCAAGTTCGCCTACGTGGCCGAGAGGGAGGACGAGCTGTCCCTGGTGAAGGGGTCACGTGTCACCGTCATGGAGAAGTGCAGCGACGGCTGGTGGCGTGGCAGCTACAACGGGCAGATTGGCTGGTTCCCCTCCAACTATGTCCTGGAGGAGGTGGACGAGGCGGCCGCGGAGTCCCCCAGTTTCCCGAGCCTGCGGCGGGGCGCGCCCGTGAGCAATGGCCAGGGAGCGCGGGTTCTGCACGTGGTCCAGACGCTATACCCCTTCAGCTCGGTCACCGAGGAGGAGCTCAACTTCGAGAAGGGAGAGACCATGGAGGTGATCGAGAAGCCGGAGAACGACCCCGAGTGGTGGAAGTGCAAAAACGCCCGGGGGCAGGTCGGCCTTGTCCCCAAAAACTATGTGGTGGTCCTCAGCGACGGGCCTGTCCTGCCCCCGTCTCACGTCCCGCAGATCAGCTACCCGGGGCCCGCGGGCAGCGGGCGCTTCGCTGGCAGAGAGTGGTACTACGGGAACGTGACCCGCCACCAGGCCGAGTGCGCCCTCAACGAGCGGGGCCGCGAGGGTGACTTCCTCATCAGGGACAGCGAGTCCTCGGTAAGTGACCTGGGGCGTGAGGTCCGCCCGGCGCCGGGAGGTTCCAGGAGAAACAGTAAATGTGTGTGTATGTGTGTGCATGTATGTCGATGTGTATACAGTGCATAGTGTGGCAGCTGAGCACCGTTCCTTTGCAGATTGTGTGAACAGACCAGAATTAGCAAGAGCATCCCGGGGGCTCTTACTAAGACAGGTGAGTGGGACTGGTCAGTGTCCCTGTGTGAGGTGTGGCTCCGTGCACCCAAGTCCGGGGTGAGTGTAGGGCCTCACCCACGATCGCACTTATTCCCGGAGACACACTCACAGATACAAGGGTGAGAAGGTTTTTGCTTCGTGAGGCTGTTTGTCCTCTTTACCAAGTTTCCCTTCTGTTCTGAGGACCTAAACATCATGTTCTCTCTGGTTCCCATTGTTAGCGACCCTCGTCGGCCCTGTGGTCAACTCTGTCTCCACTCTGGGTCCCAGACATGTCAGCTGCTCCCAGCCGGACGGCACTGGTTTCTGACGCAGCCTTTGCTGGTTGGGTTTTTTTTGTAAACCATGTGCATCATATCCTCCTGAGGTCACCTTTGCCGCAGGCACCACCACCGAGTTCATCTCTGAGCAGCTTTGGAAGCATTTGTGAACAGGACTGGAAGGAAAAAGGTGGTTCTAGAGCAGTGGTTCAGTTCTAGAGCAGTGGTTCTCAACCTTCTGGCGCCCCGGTTTCTGACGCAGCCTTTGCTGGTTGAGTTTTTTTTGTAAACCATATGCATCGTATCCTCCTGAGGTCACCTTTGCCGCAGGCACCGCCACCGAGTTCATCTCTGAGCAGCTTTGGAAGCATTTGTGAACAGGACTGGAAGGAAAAAGGTGGTTCTAGAGCAGTGGTTCTCAACCTTCTGGCCCTTTAAATACAGTTCCTCGTGTTGTGACCCAACCATAAAATTATTTTCGTTGCTACTTCATAACTGTAATGTTGCTACTGTTATGAATCGTAATGGAAATATCTGATATGCAGGATGGTCTTAGGCGACCCCTGTGAAAGGGTCATTTGACCGCCAGAGGGGTCGTGACCCATAGGTTGAGAACCACTATTCTAGAGTGAGATGAGTGAGTGTGTGTGATGCAGGGTCTGAGGCCACCTGGCCTGCAGCAGGGGCAGTGCCAGCAGTCGGCAAATTTGGGGTCTGTGTTTGGGGGATGTGTCTGAGCCTCTGTGGAGGAACTGGGCCAGGATCATGCGTGTGCATGCACGTGTGTGAGTGTTTTGGAAATACTCAACTGGTTTTGTAGGCCTCTTTGCAAAAACACCTTCCATATGGTTAGGTACCTCTGTCCCCCAAAAAACAAAAATAAGAGTTCTATGGATAGAGTTCATTGTGATTACATTGCATTGGTTCTGGCAGGCTTCCGTTTAGTTTTTTCAATGCAAACTATACAACTAGTAAGTGTGTGCTATGTGCTGTAATTGTCCTCTGAAAAGGTTGATGCCACAGTAAGTGAGTGCATAGTCAAGACTCGGGTGCTTGATCCGTGAGGAATTAAGGCCACAGACATGTTTATCCCCTTCAGAGACTCGCGAGGCAGCCATGGTGTGTTCCTTTCTGAGGCAGCAGAGCCCATAGTGATGCGAGTCGGACCCGTTGTGGTGTTGGCAGCTTGTGGAGTTAGCGGCCTCCCTGATGTGTTTGGTCAAGCAGGCCGGCCTGATCGCTCACTGCATCTGAAATCTGAACTCTGAGCTTTTCTTATCCAGCTGTCAGAGTTCATCATCCCTGGCAGGACATCACATTGCATGGTTCGCCTGTGACGTAAGCTCTGAGCTCAGCTTCCTTAGATCTGTGTGCGGCAGAAGAATGACAGGGCAGCACGTTTAACTCTTCTGAGCAGAAGTTCAGAAGCCCTGGAGAAGCAATTACAATGTAAAGCGATGGATCCAGAGCCCCTGGTCTTGACTTAGAACACCTGGGTGTGAAGAGACATCTTAGAGCCGGGCTGAAGCAGCCCCCCAGTGTGGGGACACCAGCCCAGTCATGGTGGCTCCTGTTGGGACTGAGGCAAGAGAGTCCTCGGGAAGAGGAGTGAGAACAGCGGCCTGCAGGTGGCTGGCCTTCGGGGGCCTGCTGCTCTGCGTGGACGCTGCGTGCAGGTGGCGTCTGAAGGAAGTTCTTCTGGTTGGGAGGCCCTTGCCTTGTGCGGGTCCATCTGAGAACTGGCCGATGCGATGTCTTGTTTGTCTCATGTTACTACAGACTAGGCCAGTGGTCGGCAAACTCGTTAGTCAACAGAGCCAAATATCAACAGTACAACGATTGAAATTTCTTTTGAGAGCCAAATTTTTTAAACTTAAACTATATAGGTAGGTACATTGTTATTAACTTAATTAGGGTACTCCTAAGGCTTAGGAAGAGCCACACTCAAGGGGCCAAAAAGCCACATGTGGCTCGCGAGCCACGGGACTAGGCTGACTGCTCCATAATGGAAACGTTGTTTACATTTGATTTTAACGTTCCTAGGGGGGCTTTCGGATTGTGTGCACTGTCTTAACTTGAACCGCGAATAGTGTGCCTGGGCCTCCAGTTCTAGGGCTGTGGGAGCAGACAGCCCCTCGTGGGACCAGTACTGGCTCTGCACCCACGGCCCGCCAGTCTGGAGATGCCGTGTGGCCTGATTGGGTGCAGGCTGCCTCCCCCATGGGTGTTGCTGTCGTGCACCTGTCTGTGCCAAAGGGCTGCTGCCAGGCTGTGAGGCACGTGCTGCTTTGTCCTGACAGCAGCAGCAGGCCAGTCGGCTGCTTTTCTCCTTCACAGCCTGTCACCTGTGGCTTGTGGAACTGCCCGGATGGACAAGTGGACAAATCTTTGCTTATTCCTGTCCCTCCATCCGCTGCCCCTGCCTCTTGCTGGAGTCCCGCATCCTCTTTCCTCTCCCCGGTCCGTTTCCCTGCTCACTTGCATGTCTCAGGGGAGAGCCTGCTCTCAGTCTCCACCAGGCCAGCTGAGGGCCTGGGCCAGAGGCCAGCGCGCACCTCGCACCTCGCAGGGCGGACAGGGTTCGTCCTCAGCATTTCTCAGGGCTCGGAGGCATCTTCGCCTGCGGGCCTTTTCCTTTCTGCAGCCTTGGGGCCTGGAACCTTCCTCGTAGACCACACAGGACGCCCGGCCTGGGTAAGCTGAGCAGCTGTCTTAGAGCGCATCTTCAAGATGCGTCCTTTCTACGGGCCGCCTGATGGTTCCAGTGTCAGCAAGCTAGACTCTTGCTTGTCGGGATTTTGCATTTAAAAATATGTCATACATTTCAGTTTTGAAAGATAAAAATATACCCAACTCTGAGTCCAAGGAAATACGTGCTTTTGGGGGGAGAAGTGCATATTTTGGGAAAACAAACAAGAACATTGCCACACCCATGGCCTCCGGTGTCAGTGACGTGTGGCTGTTCTGCGGGTATCTGTTAGACACGGTTCACCAGTGAACGCGCGAACCAGCCACAACATGAGGAACTGTATTAAAGGGTTGCGGCATTAGGAAGGTTGAGAACCACTGTTTTAGACTAACACATAAAAAGATGTGTTTTTTTTTAATGTTTTTTATTGTGGCAAAATATATATAACAAAATTTACCATTTTGACCATTTTTAAGTGTAGGTTTAGTGGCATTGAGTGCATTCACATTGTTCTACAACTATCCCTACCATTCATCTCTACAACTTTTTCATCTTCCCTAATTGAAGCTCGACACCCATTAAATACTAACTCCCTATTTCTCCCTCCCCTAGCCCCTGGCAGCTTTTTGCTTTCTGTCGCTAGGAGTTTGACTACCCTAAGTACCCATGGGGGGGATCATACAGTACTTGTCCTTTTGTGTGTAGCCTGATTTCATGTAACGTCCTCAAGGTTCATTCCTGCTGTAGCACGTGTCAGAGTTTCTTCCTTTGGGGGCTGAATGGTATCCCTTCATGATGTGTATAGACCACAATTTGTGTATCCATTCACCCTGCCATGGGCATGGGTCGCTCCCACCTTCTGGCTCTGCTGTGTAACGCTGCTCTGAACACGGCGTACAAATGCCAGCTCAGTCCCTGCCTGCAGGGCTTTTGGGTGTAGATCAGGATGGAGGTGCTGGATCAGATGGTAATTCATTGTTTAGTTTTTTTAATTCATCTGTTTTCCACAGTGGCTCTGACATTTGCATTCCCACTAGCAATGCACAAGTGCTCCAGTCCCTTCACATTCACGCCAACAGTTTTTGCTTTCCAGTTTTGTTTTGTTTTTAATAATAATAACCAGGGTATAACGTGGGCATTTTTACTGTGTGCTTCAATTTATTAACATGGCAGAAATGAGAAAGTTATAAAGATGGGGAACAGATGGTGGTTTCTAGGGATAAGGGGGGGCGGGGTGGGTGTGACTGTCCGTGCCGGGAGAAAGGAGTTCTGTGTGGTGAGGAGCGGTTGCTGTGGTTTTGATTTGCATCAGCACATAATTTTTTCATCTCAGCTTCCCCTTTTGCTTGTTTGGGGTGTTTCTGTGACCCTTAGCTTGGCCTCGGGAGCGTGCAGGAGCAGCAGAGAGTGATGCATTCGCGTTCCCCCCACAGGGCTTGTAGCACAGAAAGCAGGGGTAGTAACAGCGTGGAATTGTGTGCACACTGGCCTGCTCGCTGCCTTCTCACCAGTGTTTCACCTTTGGAAGGTCCCACTGTCACGGCCATTGGAAATAAGCAGAATCAAGCAAAGGTCGTTCCGCAAACGAGGGGGAGAACACCATGTAAAATGTTTTCAGCCTCCGTGGCCTTAATTCTCCAAGTGTGGTTCTTAGACCAGCAGCAGCTACGTCACCAGAGAACTTGCTAGAAATAGAGATTATCGGGCCCCGCCCAGACCCGCTACCTGCGTCCCCTGGGTAGAGCCCGCAACCTCCACCTGCACGAGCCCTCAGGTGACTCCGACGCTCGTGTCTGGGCACCACTGAGCGTGGCAGGTGACATCGGTCAAGCCTCTTCGGACAGCGCTGCGCATAT